AATCCAAGACAGAGAACAAGAAAACGGCAAAGCCCTCCTGCCATACATAAAAGGCACCACAGACAGAATCAGCAAGATCCTCCACAAACACAACATCAAGACAGCATTCTGCACAAACCGAAAAATATCTACCATCCTAAGAAACCCCAAAGATAAAATTGAGTTAGAAAATCAAGGAGTATATGAAATCCCATGCACCACCTGTCCCACCACATACATTGGACAAACCAACAGAAGAATAAATGCTTTGTTGTGCTCAGGTTAGTCTGAGTTGCAGGGGGATTTGAGATGGTGAGCTTCATTGCTGTTGTTTGGCTTCGTGTTCGTGGTCGTGCCACATCTTTATGGTGGGTGTCAGTTTGCTTCATGTATGGATTGGAGGGGTTTAAAGTGGCTAATGATGCAGCTGTGGACTGGTTTCTAGTTTGTGGTCGTGCCTCATCATCTGTGTGGGTTTGGGTTTGCTTTTTTCGTGGATGTGTGGTGGTGACCTGTATGGTTTTCGTGAGTGTGGGTCTGGTGTCGTTCTTTGTGTTAGGGACTCGTTTGCCAATAAGGGCGGGTTTCCAAATTGCTGGTAGGCAGGAGGTATCATCTCGTTTATTCATGCTGTGTGGGCGTTTTTCTATCGATGGCTTCTCTGATTATTCTGTTAAAGTGTTCAGTTTTGGCAATAGTTCTGGTCTTTTTAAAGTCAATTTTATGTCCTGTGGCTTTAAGGTGTTGGACCAGGGAACAAGTTGGTTCCTCTTTTCTGACTGAGTTCTTGTGTTCTTCAATGCGTGCATTTATTCTTCTGTTGGTTTGTCCGATGTATGTGGTGGGGCAGGCGGTGCATGGGATTTCATATACTCCTTGATTTTCTAACTCAATTTTATCTTTGGGGTTTCTTAGGATTGTAGATATTTTTCGGTTTGTGCAGAATGCTGTCTTGATGTTGTGTTGGTGGAGGATCTTGCTGATTCTGTCTGTGGTGCCTTTTATGTATGGGAGGAGGGCTTTGCCGTTTTCTTGTTCTCTGTCTTGGATTTTAGTGGGGGTTTCTTTTTGGATTAGGTTGGTAATCTTATTTCTTTGGAATCCGTTGGATGTTAGTACGTTAGTGAGAGTGTGTAGTTCGGTTTTTAGGTGTTGTTCGTCAGCTAAGCGTTTTGTTCTGGAGATGAGTGTCTTGGCTACGGAGTTGATCTGTGCTGGGTGATGGTGTGAGAGTGCGTGCAGATAGTGGTTTGTGTGTGTTTTCTTCTGGTAGATGGTGTGTCCTAGGGAGCCATTGGATTTCTTGTAGACCAGTAGCCACTGGTCGCGGGCTTGCGGATTCTACATACCCCCGTGGCTAATTTTGCCCTGCCAGGGGACCCTAAATGGATCTAAGTCACCCTGGAGAGGTAGCGAAGAAAGAAGGGTGCTCCAGCGATTCTGGAACGGCAGCAGCCGTTCTGTTCAACTTGGGGAAAGCCTTCTAACCCGACAGGAGAAAGGCTGGCTGTATTGCATCGACCAGCCCAAGCTACTAGCAACCGAAGTCCAAAAGTACTAACCAGCACAACTGTGAACAGCGTGCTTGAAACTGGGTGAGGAATTCGATCTTCTCTTTTCTATTCTATATTTAATTTCCTGGAAAAGATCCCCAAGAAGCAAAATACCTCCGAAAGGGAAGGAGGGGGATTTCCACTCCACCCTTATACTAACAGAAGTGGCGAATTAATCTTTTTATGGAGGATCAAAATGTCTGGAAGTAAAATAAATATAAAACCTGAAATTTAAAAATTAAATCTGGATAAATATAAAATTGTTTGAATGGTTAAGAATTTCATTCTAAAGATAATTGTTTATTTTGGAAATTGAAAAACAAATAGTTGCTGACACCTAGTGGTGGATGAAGACTATGACTGCTATGGCAAAACCTGGGAAAAGCTAATCTGTGTTTGTGACCTTCAAAGCTTTAACAACAAAGAACAGCTGTGACAAAAAAAGACAATAATCTGGGCTTTAGACAGAGAATTATAAATTTCAGGGGAAAATTTTTTGGAACTATTTGAATTACAAATATCTATTTAATTGGGACTTTAAAGCTATTTGCAGAGAAAAGGAAGGAAGAGAAAAACTCAAATTCTTGGCCATCATGGATCAGAGATATGTAGAAAGAACATATCAAGAAAACATAAATTCTTCACAGGAGGAGATATATAGTATACTGCAACTAATTCAAACAACAATGACTTTAAACCACAAAGAAATCCAAAATAACTTTGAAAATATAAATCAATCTATTTCCAAGTTAACTCTACAACAAAAAGATTCCCAGAAAACAACAATAGAGAAGGAGCAGATAAAACAGATAAATGGATATAGAAATGAGAATAGAGACTTAAAGATGGAACTTAATAAAACAAGGAAACATGATTTAATCCTAGTGGGAAAAAATTCACAAGAATTGGAAAAAACAATCTATCCCTTAAGACTATAAAATAAAGCTGAGGACAAGAAAACAGATTGGATAAAATGGACTGTAGAGATGTCAGGAACATTGGAGAGAAAGGAAATGATAAGAGAAGCAGAGAGAAAGAAAAAGAAAAAGATTTTCAACAAACATGGAAAGGCAGAAGCCCCGTACAAAAACACTTCACCTGATTTACAGTACTTTTTATATCTACAGTAACATTTACAAACATACAGAAAAACCTTTTGATTCAGCAAAATACATTGATTAAGAAAGATACTGGGCAAAGGAAAAAGACTAAAGTGGAAACCAAGAAAATAGATAATGGGACTTACCAGAGAGAATACTTAAAAAAGAAACATTTATTTGAATAAATTAAAGAAATAGAAAAGATTTGGAATACATATGTCATTATAAGAGGGATAAATTCCCTAAATAATATAGTTTGCTTTTTTCCCTTTTTATTTTCTTTCTTGATATGAGTAATAAAAAAAAAGTTGTAGTGACTTAGATAAAGGAAATGTTTTAGATATTTAAATGTGATTGAATTTAAGAAAATTATAATGGATAAAAATGTTTTGAATATGAGTTAAAGGACTAGATGACTAGATGTATTAAATGGAATATTTAAAGATTAAACATATTTTTATTTATGGTTAAAAAGAATAAGAAATTTTGGAAACAAATATATATTAGCTTAGGAGAGATATATACAGTATTTTAAGTAGTATGTTATTTTTTATGTTTCTTTACTCTTGCTCTCCTTTCTTTTTTTTTCACTGTTTTATCTATTCCTTAAGAAATGTAAAAGTGTGAGATGTTCATATGGAAAAATAGAGTTAAATTTTTAAATGTAATTAATTTTTGAGAAAATCTTAACCAGTAGGAATATCTAGAATTTGGTGGGACAAACAAATTAAAATAAGGATTGTAACAGGATTTATGATAAAGCAACCAGAATGATTGGATAGAAAAGAAATATTATATTGATGTGATTATTATCTTTAGGAAGATTGGGAAAAAATATATATTTAATTGTTATCTACCAAAACAATAAGAATTGTATTAACTCAATGTTTGCAAAAGTGGATATTTTGGGAAAAGAGGAAATCAACTAAAACCATTATGTGGATTATGGATTATAGAAATCAATTGTTAATGATTGTTTTACAAATGTAAACCCAGACAATACACTGTTCACCAATTATTATGTGATTTATGTTTTTAAAAATCAATAAAATATATTACAAAAAAAGATAGTTGTTAAGTGAGTTTTGCCCCATTTTACAACTGTTATTTGCCACAGTTGTTAAGTGAATCATTGCAATTGTTAAGTTAGTAAGATGTTTATTAAGTGAATCTGGCTTCCCCATTGACTTTGCTTGTCAGAAGATTGCCGAAAGTGATCACATGACCTTGGGACACTGCAACCGTCATACATATGAGTCAGTTGCCAAGTATCTGAATTTTGATCACATGACCATGGGGATGCTGTAACAGTCATAAGTATGAAAAATGGTCATAAGTCATTTTATTTTGTGCCATTGTAACTTCAAACGGTCACTAAACGAACTGTTGTAAGTCGAGGACTACCTGTACATAATGTTAAAGTCTGCAGTGCTTCAGGGTTCTCACTCTTCTTTGGCAATTGAGCTATCTTGAATGCATCACTATAGTCAAAATGAAAGCTATCAATATGTGGATAACAGATTTGGAAAGAAGGGAAGGCACATAGCTAAGCTAACTAGCAAATATTCTTAGAAACAGAGGCAGCTTGAAATCTTGGTGTAAAGTTGGTTATTGTTTTTAAGGGAGTATGATACCATATATGGCCCATAACTATGGCATTCCAGGATCCAAAGCCTATACATCTTACCTTGTGTAGTTGAAATTTCAGTCTCTTACTCTTCTCATGTACCAAAATAGCATCCAGAAACGGTTGCTTATAGACTTGATGGGTACAGAGATATATTTCTATTCAATAATGTCAGTGTTTTCAAATGAATGACACCACTTACCATAAAATCTTGCAAGACATTGAAAAGGACGTGATTGTCCATGGATATTTATGGATGGCCAGAGGTTTGTATGTAACAATACTAAAATTGTTGTTGTTGCTGTAGGTTTAAATGTAGGAACTCACTATGTTTGTTTTCTTCTGTGGCACAGGTAGAAGAAGGTTGGTGGGAAGGAGTGCTAAAGGGGAAAACTGGCATGTTCCCCTCTAATTTCATAAAGGAGCTGTCCAATTCCGATGATGCTAGAGTTGTCCATGAAGAGCACCTGATAAAACCAAGTAAGCGTATAAGCATTCATTTTATTTTAGCTTTGGTTGGATTCTTTCATTATACCATGGCTTTTCTTTTTCTCCTTTCTAATGAACAAAATCTAACAAATTTTTAGAATTTGTGCAGTGAACTGTACCAGGTGGAACAGAATTAATATTAAATTGCTTTTAGGAAGCTACAAAGATTTAAGCTCCCCAGTTGTTCTTTTTCTGATTGAATGACCTTTTTGTTCATTTTCCTTAACCATAATTTGCCATTATATTTTATCACTAGAAGTTCTGAAATGCTAATTCAGAAAGTCAGTTGAACTATGCTTGGTAATGTGATGTTCCTATCCTTTAATGTTGATCAATGGATTATAGTTAAAAGAATGATAATACATTTGCAACAGCTTTATTTTTTTTCTTTTGCCTGACACTTAGCATTTTTGTTTTTTCTATCAATAGTACTGTTGTACCTAGAACTCAAGTTTAGGTCAGTAAACCCACGGAATGGTCTTCAGAATTATCCAGAAGGTGGTCACTAGCAAGGCTGTGGCAAACAAGCTAAGCCAGGAGACGATTGGTTATTTAGGGTGGCAGATCTCTTGAATCCTTGATTTTTTTAAAAAAAAAATAGTATATACCATTGGATACAGCTAGAGATGTTATTTTTATTATTTTGCTTTGCAAATATCCTGTGTTTTTAAGTCACAAAAGTATGCTACCTACTGCACCATTGCTTAGTATACTTTTTATTAAAAACTCCCATAAATTTAATATATGTGGTTCATTTATATTATGAAGCAGAAGTGAAGGATTTGTAGTCCTTCAATGTTATGAATTATAATTCCAAGTACCCTTAGACATGTTGTATGGGACTACTGTGAGGGCCAAATGTTTTCCTTTGCTGTAAAGATTTGTGTCTCTGGACAATGATAAATTTGCTTTGTCAACTGTGACATTTGCACATCTTCCATGATGCAACCCACCTTCTACCTCTATTTCAAGCATGTCAAACTGCCGGCCCGCGGGCCGGATGCATCATACTGAAACCGCGCCCACCCCATTGCCGGCAATGGGAAAAAAGTCACGATACGTTGTGCGATGTCACAAGACATCGCGAGTTTGACATGCCTGCTCTATTTGATGAAAAAGAATAAAAGAATTGCTATTTCCCCCAGTATGTTTAGACCAATATTGAATGAAACTTGTTTTTATGGAGAATTATATTGTTACTGCTATTCAAATTGCACCATTGGATTTTTAATTTAGTTTGTCCAGAATTTTTTAAACTATTTGTGTACAAACTATTGTTGAAGTATATTTTACTTTTGAAATATTGTATGCACTGCAGTGCTTCTATAATGATTTATTAATTAATGTTTGCCAAGAATATTATACCAGTCATAATTACTGCTTTGTTTTTAATTTCTACAGTAGTTTTCAATTTATAACTTAGATAGAAATATATTTATGAGCTTTCTTTTGCTTACATCATTATTCTTTCTGTCTCCCCATCATAATAACTAAAATGTTTCACATCATTAACTGGATATACTCCTTGTAAATTTATGGCATCAGGTGAAGGTGGATTTGTCAGTAGTTACCAAAGACATTTATGGCAAAGGGCAGAATTGAAATATGGCTCTTCCTAATTTATAATAGACCCCATGGTCTTATTCACTATAGTCCAGTAATTCTTGACTTTGTCAGAAGAGACATGCCTAAGTTAAATTCAGATAAACAACTGGCATGCATGTATGACAGATCAAGATAGTTATCCTTTGTATATCTTAAAAGTTAATAAGTAGAGACTTGACTTAAAATATTTTTATCATTTGTACTATACTATGGTATTTGAAAAGATGGCATTCTGAATAGTTTTAGGATTCTAGATTAAAGCAGTTTTTGCAATCATTGCAAGCCTTTTATACAGAATCTCACAAAACCTGAATTTAAATCTATCTATTTAAAACATTTTTGATATAAGGAAGATTTCAAAAGCAGTAATTATATTTTTACGTTGCTTTTTGAATAGAGAATTTTGCTAAGCAATACATATTGATGAATTCATAAGCATATGATGCTACTGAACTTAATTTGGATTAAATGTATTCTGCTGTGCTTATAGAGTTAAAGACTAATGGCAAATGTATTAGGGTAAAATACTTTTTATTCTAATACATTAAATCTTTTATAAAAAGAGGATTGGGGGTAAAGTTAAGCATCATGAAACCTTTCTCACATACAATGTAACTTTTTTCTTTATTTTTTTGTAGCAATAACATCTCTCAGGAGAAGCTTCCAAATCCTCTAAAAACAGATTTGGGAGTAGGGGAAAAGTTGGTTCTGCTTAATTTGTTGATAGACACTCAGAATTGTTGTGTGTTATGAGCAAAAAAGAAACAAGTACATCCCAACGCTTTGCTAATTTGCACAGAAATTATACTTCAGGTGTTTATTGACCATTAAAAATATTCAGAAAGAATATACAGTTTACTTTGCTGAACAAAGTTTTGACTTTTTTTTCCTCAGAAATGCAAACAGTGAAATTATAATTACTTATAAGCTTGTTCTTTTACTAATGAAACTTTAATGCAGCAAGATTAAAAATTATTCCTCTCTTTACTTCTGCTATTACTTCAATTTTCCTATCCTTTCTTTTTGTTCTGCTCTCCTTTTCTTTCATTCTGCTGTCAGGAAAGTCTGCCTTTGAAGGGTCAATTCTGTATAAAGTGGGACCGACAAAGATTGAGAGCTGCAGACGCTATAACAGTGAGTTAATTAACAGAAAAAAGAGAGAATGCTAAGCTAAGGCTGCTCTTTGAATGTGTCTGTTTTCATCTGCCAATGAAAGAATGTCCATCCATTGTGCACTGGAGTCTTGGCTACTTGCATAGTTGTCTGTGAGATGCAGTCATTTTGTTTGCAGTCCACAGCGCATGTTTTTTGAAAATGAATGTAATCTACATACATGGGAAAAACAATCTGCAATATTGGGAATCGCCCCCAAAATATAGTGCTCAGCTAGATATTTTGATTTCAATCAATCAATCAGTTTATTATTACAGCCATAGGCCAACACATAAAATTAAACATTCAAATAAAACAGAACTAAACAGAACCGAACACAAGAAGGCATAGCAATATATTACAATTAATGATGTAATCAATGAGTGTCCAAAGTCTGCCTAGTTTTACAGACAGTATAACAAAACCTATCTACCTTCAGAGAGACTGAGTCATACTGACCTGACAATAAAAATACATTGAGTATGGTCTAATACTGAATAAAAACACATCATAAAATTAATTATAAAAGATTATTAAAAAGATCTAAAATATTTATTTATGTTTCTGGTGAATCCCCAGTGCTGCTGCGCAGAATCTGCCATGATCACTGCCTGCTCGTCCTTAAGCAGCCACTGGAGATAAATACTTTCCGAACGACCAGGGTACCTAACGCTTATGGGAAGGATATGGTTTTTCCGAATAGCTCTATAGAAGGAACATCAAAAGAGTATGTGTCTAATGGTCTCCACCTCTCCTGAGCCACAGGAGCAGAGTCTTTCAGACAATGGTGTCTTTTTATACTTGCCATACAGGACAGCCGATGGAAATGCATGGCACCTTGCGAGTGAAAATGCTTTCCGGTGGTTTACTGACTCCAACTGACTAAGATAACAGGCAGGTGTAACAACATATTGGTCGTAGTCCAATTTGAGTATTGAGGCTGAAGAGAAGCCTAGTTTGGCAAGGTTGGACTTGACTGTCTTGATCCATGAAGAGGAGAATTTGTCTTGAAGGATTAATGGAGCAAGGCCTTGCGGAAAGCAATTAAGCCTTAGCCAGATATTTAAGGAAGCTATACAGATTCTTGCTTCAACTTTTATCAATCCCGTCTCCAGGCGCAGAAGTACATTTGAGACACAACGTGGCATCTGGAGAATTGTTCTAATAAATTTGGATTGAACTCTTTCTAATGGTGTGAAACACAAAGCTGAGGACCCAAGCAGGGTCCCGTATAGAAGCTGTGCAAGCCACTTGGCCAGAAAGAGCTTAATTGCGGCTGGAACATAGTATCCTCCCTTTGTGCAGAAAAATTTAAGGATGGTGTTCGCTGATCGTTGGCCAGAGGCAGCCACATATTCCCCATGTGCTTTTCGTGAGCCAGTGGCATGGATGACCACCCCTAGGTACTTAAAGGTGGTTACCTGCTCTATTTTATGGCTATTTAACTACCATGAGTACAATTTTGGCCTTTTTGCAAAAGCCGTAACATTTGTTTACTCATAATTTATGTCCAGTTTATTGTAATTGCAATACTGGACGAGGGCTTGCAAGGCTCTTTTAAGGCCAACTGGAGTCCTGGAGAGGATCACATCATTGTCTGCATAAAGCAGCAGGGCAATGCTTCAGTCACCTATTTTGGGGGGGTGGTAATTTGATTTATTTAACCATTTTACCATGTCATTTATATAAAAATTGAAAAGTAAGGGGGCCAAAATGCACCCCTGTTTAATTCTCTTTTGAGTTTCAACTGACCTCAAGAGGGACCCTTGTATATTGCACCTCACCTTGAGGGATGTTTTAGTATGTAAGGCACGTAACAGATGGAGAAGCCTGTGATCATTTGAAGCAGCTTCCAGCTTCTCCCATAGCTTAATCCTTGTAACCGTATCAAAAGCTGCCTTGAGATCTATAAAGGCAGCGTATAATGATACAGGTCTCTTTGATACATATTTTTCAATCAAATGATGAAGAACTAAGCACTGATCTATAGTGCCTCTCCCCTCTCTAAACCCGGCTTGTTCTTCAGCAATCAGGTTCTCAAGATTCAGCCACTCCTTTAATTTATCTTGGAGGTGTTTGGCATAGAGTTTGCCGATTATATTTAGCAGGTTTATTGGTCTGTAATTGGCAGGGTCGTCTCTCTTTCCCTTTTTATAAATTGGGACCACAATTGCCAAGCCCCAATCCTCTGGGACATGGCCGGTGGAGTCAATATACTGTAGTGTAGATGAATA